ACTCAATCCCATGAATTAAACCCAACTCAAAAATGAATTGTTGAAGTAATAATGCTGTTGTTTTAGTGAACCTAAATTTGTGCAGTATTTTAAGTATTGGTGATGTCATTCCAGTTTGTTCAATTGGCTTATTTTATATCATAACACAAATGCACGCACTACTGTGCTATAATGCCTAGTATTTTTACATTTTTTTATTTCAGTTTATAAATCACCATATATCTAAGTATGCATCCAAATCATTCTTAATGATCCCCCAAAGTGCAAAGATTTTATGTTAGTCACATAAAGTAGGCTACAACCTTATTACAGCAGTAACAATTAAATTATCCACGAGTAATTGGCTACCATTTTGATAACTGATTAATTGTAAATTAAAAAATTTTAAAATATGTTTGGAGAAATGCTGCATATGACTGTCATCTACTATTTTTAAGTTCAATTAACTGAATGGAATTAGTATAATTAACCTAATTTAACCAAGTTACCTTACTCAAATCAAATATTTTTTGCGCTTAAATTGTTTGACCTAATAAACTTCAATGGTTTAAGGCAATTGGTTTCTTCAAACAGTTGAACTCACTGAACTCATTTGTTTTTTCGATATATGAGGATTTTAAACACTCATTAACTCATGATATTTCTCTGTCACTCTTTACTTTAATAAACTGTATCTTATTTTGTTTCCCCGTTATATCTCACAAATATACAGGGACTGTTTACATTGCACAACCTATCTTCACCAACTTAGTCAGAGTATCCTGTCCATGGGTTCTCCAAATATAGTGGCAGAGATTTGGCTGTCAGGGATGGTAATGTACAGCCACACCAGGATCACAGAAAAATTATTATTAACATTTATTTAGTTTTTTATCAAATGATTGAGTCTTTTTCCACTTTTTTCCACTGGAATCATCATTTTTAATCCACAACAGGGTGGAATAATTGGATTTTAAATATTTTTAGCATATAGCTTTGATCACGCTATATGGAGATGGATAAATTCATAGCATAGAATCTAAAAAAAGCCTTCTGAACATTTCAGCAATAGACGTATACAAAACCAATGTCTTAGCAGTTGGTTGAACCTCATTGGCATCATTTTCTGTATGTTTAATTGTAAAATATCCAGTATACCACTGCTTTCATCTGTATATCTATAAAACATTTTATTGATAGTGACAGCTGAACAGTGACAGGAAAGTGGGGAAATGACATGCAACAAAGGGCCACAAGTTGGAATTAAACCCAGACTGCTGCGCTAAGGACTATTAGCTACTACTATACTAACAATGGCTGCCAATGTCTCACTATAATAAAAACAGATATTCATGTAAATCTACATTCCACACCACTGCTCTTGGTAAAATGTTGGTGTTGTTTTAATCAAGCTTAAGTTTGATTGACATGTGAATTTAGTGAACCAATCTTGCTTCCTGGACTATCTCAATATAAAAAAACAACATCCATTTTTATCTGCAAAGCACTTGGGAACTCATCCGTGCTTTTATTTCATCTCTATTAGATGTTAGGGACTCTGCAATCTAGCTAAATCCAGCTGGCTCAGGGTGACATCATAGGCCTCCTGTACGTTTCAGAGTCCAGTTTAACATTTTAATGATCACCTTTAAAGACCCATGTGGGATTTCCTCCTGGCTTTATTTCTGACCTGCTGACCACATATGAGCCTGAATGTATCCGCTAGGTCTTTGTTAGTAGTTCCCAGGTTGAGACTAAAAACCAGATGAGACTAAGACTCGGCCAGCAGGGCCCCTCGACTCTGAAATGAGGAGATCAAGCTTTAAAACACATGATTTCGACTCTCCTTTTGTGTGCTTCTCACTGCATTTGCTCTCCGGACTTGATTGATACATTTTATTTAGATTAATCTTATTTAAGGTCTTATAATTAAAGCTGCATATTTGCTGAAGCTTTGTAGCTGAACTACATCCTGACAGTAGTAAATGAGACAAATAATCTGTGAAAAAATAAGGTTCCTCTGGCTCCTCCTAGTGTTCATAAGGCTATTTGCAAGAATCCATTACCTACTGCAGCTTTAAGACATATACAAATAGTCTGTTTGGAACGATAATTTGTGTCCGATATGTTTTTTTCCACAAAATAAAAGCTTAATTTCCACATAAAAACCCTTAAAGTCATCTACTCCTTCTACCTCTTTAAAACTGTCAGAATCTCCTACTTCACTGTAAAGTCC